ATAAGTTATGTCACTATGATAAACATAAAAAGAAACAAAATGTTAATAATTACAGCTTATCTCTAGCATCAGGATAAATAGTTATACATGTTCATCTTAAAAGTGGAAGTAATTGTCAAAAGGAACATTGGAATTTAAAATCATGTTGCTTTTCATTTTTATTGAATGAGTTAAATTGAGCTCATTAGAAAACTAAAGGAAATTACTTAAAGAAAATTGAAAGCTTACAATAGAAACAAAATATCAACTGAAAATTGTATTTAGAGCCTGTGAGGAAAGGACAGTGGTAAGGGAAACTGGAGGAAAAGAAATGTAAAGATGCTTTACAAAAATCTATTAAAATGGCTGTACATATAATCCTTTATATTTTGAAAATGTGATTTATTTGTGGATCTTCTAATAGCAATAATAAATAATGCATGCTGTTTTTCCCTTTGTTAGCATTTTTGTGTATTGATTTGTTTCTTATCTAGATTTTTTTTATTTTAAAGAGAATTAAAAAATAAAATAACAGCAACATAGACAAAAGCAAAACAAAGCAAAAACAATAAAAATGGTAGGGTTTCAAAAAAAATGATAAGAATTAACAGTGATTGTTATATTACGTATTATCTTCAATGAAGTTGCTCAGATTATCAGATATAAGAATGCAAGATTGATCAAACAGTTAAAGAGAATAAAAATAATTTAAAAAAACATTAGAAATGATACAGAGCTTCACTAAACAAGATGGTAGAAATTCAACAACACATGTTATATTGCATATTGTTTTCTTCAAATTAATTCTTCAGATTATCAGAGATAAGCATGTAGAATTGGTCAAAAAAAATAAGCATTAAATGTCCCTTTCCCTCATTGTCTTGGTTACTTTTCTCTGATTGCTGAGACAAAATAACTGACACTTACAGTTACGGAAGGAAAGGTTTACTTAGCTCATAGTTTATGGCGGTTTTAGTCCATACTAGGCTGGCTCCAAGGCAGAGTGGCACACGGCAGAGGGAAATAGTTCATGGTAGCAGAAGACAGCAAAAACAACAAGAGCAAAAAGGGGGAGTGGCAGCTGGAAAAGCAAGCCTCTTTCCTCCCTTACACTGTATGGAAACTACCTGCCCCAGGACAGGTGTAGCACTCACACCCATGAATCAGTCATAAACTTTAGAAGCCTGCACCCATGCCTGCATGAGGTTTTAGGGGGACATCTAGACACGAACCATAATACGTACATATTCTTATTGTAATATAATTCAACATACCATAAAATGAGCTTCTACAATGTACAAGTAAATGATTTTTTGTGTATTCACAAGGCTATGCCCCTGCCACTATTAATTCCAGAACATTCTTATCAGCCTCTGAGGAAACCCATACTTTTTAGAAGTCATTCTATGTTATCTCAGCCCCAATCTATTTTCTGTCTCTGTGGATTTGCCTGTGCTAGACATTTCATATAAATGGAGTCATCTAATATATACTTTTTTATGCTGATCATCTTTCACTTAACATATTGTAGCATGTTTCAGAATTTGATTCCTTTCTATGGTCATATTGCCTTTTTGTTACTGATATTACTCCAGTACTTCAGTACTACTTTAATTATGAAAATCTGGATGCATTTGCAGTTGAATCCCCTCGTGTACTAGACCCACAGCTTTACTTACCTATGAAGACTGGACATCTAATGACATCTTATCTGAAGAATGTTAAAAAACTCTTATAAAATTTATTGCTCCATCTTATACTACAGCCCTCCTTCTGCTATATTTTAAACCTTGTCATTAAATAAATTATCCTATTGCCTTAATAAGTACTTTGTTTGAAAATACAAGTACCCTTTAAAACTATATTGATCTGTAATAAATTTTCAGTTGATTAACTTACTATCACTGATAGTGAATTAATAGTGGTAAATTCCCCATTTTAGAAATTGGGATTTTAGTGGAAAAAGAAAACAGATAAGAATAAATTTGACGTAAGATATTTTCCCTAATAGCCTAGATTGTCTGAGCACCTGATGATCAGCTTTTTAATTCATCTAACCATCATTTATGGAATGGTTAGCTCAATGGTGTCAAATTCTTTTCTTTTTTTTTTTTTTAACTGAGGATATGAAGCCATTTCCTGCCTTTAAGGGACATACAGTCTAGAGTCTTGTATGGGAGATGGACACATAATCAAGCCTAAGGCAAGGTACTGAATGCTGGGATACATGAACAGACAAAGACCTATGAAAACACATTGGAACAGAGAGCCCAGGGAAGGCTCCTGAGAAGAAAGGGTGTGAGTAGAGTCTTTCAGACTAAGTATGAGTTAGCTAGATGATGAAAAAGAAAAGGCATTACAAGCCAAGGAACTGACACCACAAAGCAACCTAGAAGAATGCAATCACAGGTCATATTCAGAAATGCCAAGTTAGCCAATATGACCAAAGACAGGAGAAGAGAAGAAAGGTGAGATAATAATGATAGTTAAGTGCTTCCTATGTGCTAGTCGTGCCTAAGTATTTTGCATGGCCTATCTCACTCCGTGGTCACATCTATCTTACCACACATGTGCTGTTTACATAACATTTTCCAAGCACAAAAAAATGAGACATAGAAGGTTAAGTAACATATCTACATTCCCATACATAGATTTGCAAAGGGAATGTGCTGCCAGAATGTAACAAGGGGCCTTGTGAGCCAGACTGAGGAATTTGACCTTTATTCTAAAAGTGATAGGAAGGAAAGTCTAGGCAGGAAAGCAACCTGATGTAAGTAGATTTACCATTTTAGAGACATCAGTATAGTAGAGGTTGGATAGGAGAAAGAGAACAATAATCCAGGCAAAAGGCAATGAAGGCTTAAATCGAGATGAGGACAGTGCAACAGGAGAGAAGAAAATGGCTCAAAAACACCACTTAGGAAGTCAAATTAAACTCCACAGAGGTGGATAGAGAGAGGCAGAGTCTAGAACAGTGAACTTTTTAGATCTTTCAATGATGGAAACATCCTGCTGTGACACATGTGCCATAGGACTGCTACCACTGGTCTAGAATGGCTGGAATAGTAGGCCAGTGTATCAAAGATTGTGCCTTCAATCCGGGACATACAGAAGGAAGTGTTAGTGGACATTTCCTTTAGAAATGGCTCCCCAATTAAATATATTCCATAGACCCTTCTTGCTTCGAACAAAGAATTGGATGAGACAAGCCAAAAATGGTGCCAAAAGTTTATTTGAAAAGTTAGAGGTGAGGGAGTAAGGGAAAAACAGGGTCTGCAAAGTGAAATTGGGGCAAACAAAAGAGGAGAGGAAAAAAAGAGCAAAAATAAAAGTACACCCTGGTCTAGAAGACACAGATTGGGTTACTGTAAAGAGTCATGATAGTGGGCTCTTTGTGGTGTCTGTGTCCTTATATGTCATCCACATCTCAAGGGAGACACAAGAAGTTTCACATACAAGGTTCTGGGGCTGGGGATTTAGCTCAGGGGCAAAAGCGCCTGCCTGGCAAGCGCAAGGTCATGAGTTCGGTTCCCGGTACCGGAGAAAAACAAAAAAAAAAAAAAAAAAAGCACATACGAGGTTCTAGGAACTATTTGGCAATGTGCTGAGAGCTTGTAATGAACAGGTCCTGCTTATTTCCCTTGCTAATTTTGCTATGCCCTAACTCCTATCTCAGAAGGAGGGGTTTAAATTCATGTTGAGCATGAAGTGTTTAGACAACTTTCAGATGGAAAAAGAGGGAGCGACAGACAGACAGAGACACACAGAGAGAGAGAGAGAGAGAGAGAGAGAATACATAATTTGTGGGTCCAGAGCCCAGCAATGCTGCCTGAGCTGGGTATGTAGAGTTGTAGGCTTATAGGCCCTGGATCATTCGTAAATGGCAAGTGAAGGAAAATGTGCGGGTCTCTCAATGAGTGCGTGAGTGGAGAGAAAAGCACAGAAAAAGGAATCATGCCCCGAGCAGAGGCAGCAACATCACTGAGGGGCAAGTAGAAGAGCCTGCAGGTGGATACTGGAAAATGATAAAAGGAGGTGATAAGACCCGCAGCAGTGGAGGCATTGATACTAAAGTGAGGGCTTTATGGAGGCCATGAATAGAGAAGTAAAATGCTTCTCTATGGTTCAGAAAGACTAGGACATAAACTAACACAGAAACTGGCAATTTGAAGATCAATGATAACTTTTACTGAAAGGCCTTCTGGGGACTAGAGTCCAATTTACCACCCCAAGTGAATGTACTATGAGGAAAGAGAGAAAGTGACCGTAGAATCAGTTTTCATGAAGCAAGGTGTTAAAGGGAAGATGTCAGAAGAGGGCACACAAAGGAGGCAAAGAGAGGTCTTTTAAGTGAGCAGAAGATCCATTCTGACCGCATGTCTACACAGGGGAAGCATTCATGTTTAGTTTTGCAGCTGTGAGCAAATAAGAATCTTACACACCATTTCTATTTGCTGAGCAATGGCATCTGCAGAACCCTCCTTCGCCTGTGGAGCATGCAGGGCCCTGATGAGACTGCAGCGAGTCAAGAGGAGGCTAAGATCACCTCTAGCTTCCTCTAGAGCCAACCTCAGCCTATCCCAAGGTTTCCTGCAGGCTTAGAGTCAAGTAGGAATGAGGCCGCTGAGGCCAGCACCTTACAACAAGAGCCTTCCCTGTGGGGAAAAGGCTTGCTCCACTAAGTGTGATGGGTAGATCTTTTTTTTTTTTTTTTT